AGAAAGGAAGGAAGGAAGGAGAAAAAGGAAGGAAATCAGTGCTGGTGAGATGGGAGAAACTGGAGCCCAGTCCACTGTTGGTGGCAGTATGGCTGTTCCTCAAAAATTAAAAACAGTATCACTGTAAAATGCGGCTATTCTATGTCCCGGCATAGAACTACAAGAGTTGAAAGCAGGGTCTCAGATATTTGCTCATGTGTACTCGAAACAGTGTTGTTTACAATAGCTAAGACATGGCAGACTCAACTGTCCATCCATGGGTAAATAGGATAAAGGGTTCTGTGTATCCATACAATGGAAGACTATATGACTTAAAAAATGATAAAGTTCTGATCTATACTACATGTAGCAACCCCGAGCACAATATCATGCAGGAATCAACATATGTAATACACATAATCACTAAAATCATGTAGAGAGTAGAATGGTGGTTGCCAGGGTCTGGAGGAAAGGGAGGGGACTTCAAATAGTTCCTTACCCAGTTTCACTTTACAGAGTTTCAGTTACCCAAGTCAACTATCACACACACACACACACACACACACACACACACACACACACACACACACACCACGTGGAAAATGCCAGAAATAAGTTTATGTTTCAAATGACTCTCCATTCTGAGTAACATGACACAATCTTGCACTGTCTCACTCTGTGCAGCCCAGATATCACACCCCTTTGACCTGCGTGTCCATGCTGTATATGTTACCCTTCCCTGCCTAGCAGCCCTCTCAGTTTTACCAGATCAACTGGCCCGGTACCACCATGTTTGTGTTCCAGGGAGCTTATCCGATTTACCAATGACCTCAAAATCCAGTAACAGTAATAAGAAGAAGGCACCAGTGTTTAAACACCCAAGGACAGATTACCTCTGATTGTTCATGGCTCATGGATATCTACATGATACTGTTTCACCCATAGGTGCTGGGAATTGAACCTGTGTCCCCTGGAAGAGCAGTGGGTTATAAAATTAGAAAAGAAAAGAAGTTAGGAGGGGTGTGCCGTTGGATGAGGAAGAGACAGGAGTTAGGGAGGAGTGGGGAGTGGACCCGATCAAAGTACATTGTATACCTGAATCAAATTATCAAAAAGCACATAAAAATATTATTGATGCGAATAAATAGATAGATGGCTCTTAACCATTGGGCAATCACTCCAGCCCCAAGCACAGGGAATTTAAAAATCTCTCTGTACTTTCTGCTCATTTTTTTTTTTTTTTTGTGTGTGTGTGTGTCCTACAATTTAATACTTTAGAAAGTTCTAGATGGTGGTGATGGTGTTACACCGTGAATCCTCTTACAACCATGGAGACTGTGCCTGAAAGTGGCTAAACGATGATGTAATCTTATTTCATGTTATTATTATTGCTACAATTAAAAAATAAATAGAATACCCATGATAGTGGTACACACCTGAAATTAAAGTAATTGGGATGTGGAGAAAGAGGGAGAGGGAGAGGGAGAGGGAGAGAGCAACAAGCATGCAACAAGTATGGAAAGAATGAATGTTGTTTCCAATGGAGTCATCAAAAACAAACAGAAGAAAAATGGGTCAGAACTGGATTTAAGTTAGGGACCAGACACACCTGCACACTTAGAAATACCACAAAGAAGTTACAGTAGCATTTCTTTATATTTTAAAGTGTTTTATGTAAGCCAAAAATATCATTTGACTATCAAAATAAAAACATAAGAGCATAGTGAGAGAATAGTTTTCAGGTAAAGTCAGAAAATGTGTGCAAGCATGAGTTAAAAAAATAACCAAACAAACCAAAAACCCAGAGGCTAATCCAGAAGCATGGTGGCACATACCTTTAACCCTAGTACCCAGAGGCAGAAGCAGGCAGATCTCAGTAAATTCGAGGCCAGCCTGGTCTACAGAGTGAGTTCCAGGACAGCCAGACTGTTACACAGAGAAACCCTGCCTCAAAACAAAACAAAAACAAAAACAAAACAAAACAAAAATCAGAGGCTAGAAAACATTTTAGGACTTTAGCTCTGAAAGGAACATTCTGGTATCTTGGAGGGGCAAATCAGAGATGGAGGGACATGTGTGTGTGTGGAGATATAAGGAACTCAACTCGGCCTGTGATCTGGGCAGATCTCAGTTACCGTTCATTCTGCTGCCTGTCTGTCTGTCTATCCAGCCGTCCATCTATTCATCTACTCATATCAACATTTTTATTCATTTTGTGATAATTTTGACAAATGTACTTTGATCAGGTCCACTCCCCGCTTCACCCTAACCCCTGCCTCCTCCTCACCCAACAGCACCCCACTCCTAACTTTATTTTCTCTTCTTTTTCTTTTCGAATTTTGTAACCCATGAGTCCACTCAGGCCCCCTCCCCCTCCGCTCCTGTTCTTAGTTCTGGGAGAGGGAAATCAGGACCACTTTAGATTTTGTTCCCTTGTCCCTGGGAGGTTCATGCTAAACTGGCTTGGACAATTCTTTGCCAAAAGCAGGCTTTACAAGGAAGTAGTGTGTGGAGGGGTCTAGAAGATTCATGAGTCTTACCAAAGTTAGTCTAAGCGAAGAACCTTTGTCAGTACCAACTAACCACATACATTTACATGTCTGCTGGTAAAATGTCCCAAGAATCTGCAGCGTGTCCTCCTTAAAATCCTCACAGGTGACAAATCTTTGTCCTTTCTGGGACAGATTGGGTTTCGGACCAAAAGTTACTCAGAACCAACTGTTACAAGGTAGGAAATGAAGCTGATTTCCCCTCATGGGGGTTATATGTTGAGTCAGATAGCAATTTTAAGAGAAGGAATCCAAAAGTGTTCTGGGTACTGTCCCAGTGATTAAAGAGAAGGTAAAATTTGGCAGCATTCATATTCAGGTTATTCTAAAATCAGTGTGTGTGACTCCTCTTTATCTGTTTAGCTCAAGGATAAAGTCTGGGTACCAAAAACTTATCACTTAGATAACCCTAGTAGGCTCTGGCAACTCCTGTCTCAAAGACTTCCAACTAATCCCAGGCCTTCATTTCAAGTGCTAACTGAAGTCATTCACTCAATAACCATTTCAAGGCTCTATAATCCAACATAATACTCCACAGGCATCACAAGATGGCGTGCCATGCCTGTGAGGGTCCTTTCCTATTCTTCCCTGCCATCATCTGTTTTGCCTTCTCTCAAACATTCCAAGGACTATAGTTTGTTTTAATAATGATGGGACACAAGCCCATTTTCGAGTTGTATTCATCAGCTTGAGGCCATTTAGAGGAAGAAATGATGTGCCGGGAGGGAGATATAGGTGCCCGTGGGCACTCCCAAGCGCTGTCTGGGGCTTTGCTGTCAGTGCTCCTCTTGGCTGAGGAAGCAGGCACTCAGCAGCAAGGGGCACAGAGGGGACTGAAAGAAAAATGACAGTCTTTTTGTGTGTCATTGAAAGCCATGGTTTCCCCTCCAAGAGCATTCTGGATGGATTAAAGAGAAACACAGGGACACACACATACACACACACACTTAAGAAATAAATGAAATAACATTTCCCAGATTCCTGGCTTGGCAAAAATTCTTTCATCTTAGATTGCAAGGGGACTAAAACAAAAGGCAAGCAAATAAAAGATAAAATGAGCACTTAAAATTTTTATTGGTCAATTTAAGATACCACATATTTACAATGGGGAATAAAAGGAGGGAAGGAACCCAGGAATATGTATCCCAGTTTGCTTTCTGTGTTTATTTTAAGTAGCAATTTTAAACTATATATATATAAATTATGCATTATATAAAATATGTATATAAATTATATAAAAATATAAAACACACAGACTTTAGATACATAGTGCAGTGAGTTTGGATGTATCATATACTCTGACAAAGCATACCACAATTCTATCACCCCAAAAGTTCTGGGTATCCTTTGCCCACTCTGAGTTCACTAAATACCTTAAATTAAAATGACTACTTTTTTTGTTTTGTTTTTCGAGATAGGGTTTCTCAGTGTAGCCCTGACTATCCTGGAACTTGTTCTGTAACCAGGCTGGCTTTGAACTCTCTGATCCACCGCTGTGCTGGGATTAAAGTTGTGTGCTCCCACTGCCTGGCCTTTTTTTTTTTTTTTTTAAGGCAAGGTCTAATGTATCCCAGGCTGGCCTTGAACTTGCTATGTAGCTAAGAATGACCAGGATTACACACATGGTACAGAGGATCAAACCCAGTAATTCCTACATGTTAGGCAAGTACACTATTGAGTTACATTCCTCAGCCCCACAACGACAATTTTATGCTCTGTGAATTTCACAGTAATTAAAGGAGAAATAAAGCTACTGAGATACTATGACAAATTGTTGACAATTTCAAATCACTCCACAGTTCCCAGATCCTGTGATCACAACCCCCCCACATTGTCTGGTCGTAGTGCAGTTTTATCCCCCTTCCCATTTACCCAGAACTCCTCACATCTCTGACGCACTCTAGAAAATCAATCAGGAGAATGCTCACGATGTTAGATTACTTTAGACTTTATTTAGACTCCATTTTAAAGTACATGTAACCCGGGGGAGGGGCGGCCGAGCACCCTGAAATTACAAAGCAGATTTCCAACCCCTGTCCCCGTGGCACTGCTAGGCACCTAAGAAAAGAAAAGGCATTACCCAACCTCAAATTTCAATGTAGCGGTCTCCAGGGCGAAATCACTGCGCGGGCCAGTACCTTCTGCACTCTTTGTGTGCCTCTTTAAACCCGGGGGTGGGGGTGCGGGTTGGGGAAGAGCTTGGCACCGCCCAGGGACAGGGGCGGAGCCAGAGCAGTGGGCGGGCCCTACGAAGGCGTGCCCGGGGCGTGGGCGGACCGGGGCAGTGGGCGGGGCCGGCGCTAGCCCTGGAGAGGCGCTCCGCCCGCGGCGTAAACTCTACCCTGCGCCGCGGCGGAGCAGGTGAGCCGAGGGCGGGGGCTGGGTGAGAGTGACCCAGTACCTGTCACTGATCGCGGGTAGCCAGCCGCATGGAGAGCCCGGATGCAACAAGGCCCTTCTTGCGCACGCTCCCGACTGCTGTGGCCGCGGGCCCCTCGGGGTACCCGGGTCTGGGCTCCAGGCTGCGGCCCCGGCGGCGATCGTGGCCTTTTTGGCTGGGGCGAGGAGAAGGCGCCGGGGAGGCGGCAGTGCGGCCGGCCCAGAACTGGGGCTTGGAAGGAGCGTAGGAAGCGGCCCTGGGCCTCTGGCTGCGTCCGGGTGTCCTCAGCGTCCCTTCCTGCCTCTGGAGCCGCAGGCAGGGTAGGCGCCGAGCGAGGTGTTAAAGGGCCAGTGCACGTGGGTCTCACAGCTGTCTTGGCTACGCTACCTAGGACACGAGCTGGTCCACCTGGGATCTGCTACAGATGACAAGGGAGTGGGGACTTCTTGTGTGAGGAGCGGGGCGCAGGACAGGGCTACAGGCTGGCTCTAAGGCTGGAGTTCTGTTACCAGCCGTGTTTGGGTGTTTTTAAGTCTGTTACAGCAGTGGGTAGACGCCCAGAATCAAGCCTTTGAAGCCAAAGGAGCTCGAAAGCAAGATCTAGTTGTCACTGAATTTTACTGATGAAGAAACTGCGCCTAGGGCTAAGGATGCAGCTCTATGGTAGAGTGCTTGCCAAGCATGCGTGAGGCCAGGGAAGAAAAAGAAGGGTGGGGGGAGAACAACTCTCAGAACTAAAATGTGCATTTGCCCAAGGTCTCCTGGGTAAGATACAGTAGAGCTGGGCTTACAGCCCGGTGCCTGGGCCTGTACTGTGCAGACCCAAGCCCTTTGCTAGTTAAAGGAGTTGCCCTAGCATCTCTGCTTAGGTATTTGCCTTTGAAGGGATGAGCTGCTGGTGAAATAATTATATCCATTTACAGATGGAGTATCTAAGTCAGAACAGATGCAGACCAATTTAACTCAAAGTGGACAGCCGTCCACAGAATAGTCTGTTGGGGACAGAGAGACTCCAGCGTTCAGAATGAATGCACCTGATGTCTATATAGTCCCTCTGTGGACTCTGGTGCCTCCCGGGCCTTCAGCCAAGGCTTCTGGCAGTAATTAAAGGTTCTGCATAAGCTGTTCCAGGTGCTTGAGGCTCAGGTTCCCCTTTGGGAGTAGGGTGGCTTTGTGGGAGCCGGGAACAGTATCAGGTCCTGTTTTTCAGCTGATGAAGGGGCCAGCTTCTTGACTTGAGTCCAGAGGTGGCCATCCATCCAGGTTCATCCCATGGCTCCCAGGTCGGTGGTTAGGATCAGGCTGGCAGGAATAGAGAGTCGGGGGTGGGAAAGGTGCAGGATGGATGGATCCATGCCAGGTTCAGAAAATTATGTCCTACTATGTTGACATGCCCAGGCCCCAAATATAGGCTGTACATGTTTGTATGTGGGAATGAATGTTTCTCCTCCCTGAAGTGAGACAGGCCAGGATGAGGGAGGCTGCCAGAGGCTGCCACTTGCTCTGTGTGATGGCCTGGAACAGAGGGTTGGTCTGGCTGTATTCTATCTAGTGGCCCTTCTGTGATTGCTCAAGGCCGATAACACACACTTTACCATGTGAGTTCTCCAGACTTGGCCTCTCTGGCTTGTTGATGTGATAACCATGTGACATGCCCATGTGTTAAGAGTTGGGCATTTATGATAAAAAGCCATTTTGTCCAGTGGTTATCACAGTTATTATAAAAACTTAGTAATGGACCAAAAATATGGCTCAGCAGTTGAGAGCACTGGCTGCCTTCCCAGAGGACCCAGATTCAACATGGAGGGCTTACAACCCTCTCTAACTGGAAATCCAAGCCAGTTTTGGTCTCTGTGAACACTAGGCACACATGTGCTGTGCAGACATACATGTGCTGTACAGACACACATGCAGACAAAATACCTATACACATAAAATATAATTAGGAATTTTAAAGAACTTAGGTAAATAACTTAGCTCATGTCTGTAATTCCAGTGCATAATCACTGAGGCAGGAAGATTGCCAGTGAGTTCAAGGCAAGCCTGAGCTGTGTTGTGAGTTTCAGGCCAACTTGAGCTACATAATGAGACATTGATTTAGAAAACAAACAAAACAAAACACAGGGCAACAATGTAAATCACCATACAAAACTACAGGGATACTGACATGGTTATTTTGACTCTCTTAAAATCAGAGAACCTGAGTTCTGGGGCATTGTGGTTGGGCTGCCCAGCTGTGTGGCCTGTCAGCCCAGGAGTTAGAGATTGTTACATGTATTATCTTTACCTTTGGAGCTGTATACAGTCTTGCCAGGGGACCTCTTATCTGTATCTACACCACTACCCCTAAAGTCTGTGAGGTCTTCATCAGCACCCCCTGAGAACCTGGGAGAAGATAAATTTGCATTTTGAGACAGGATTTTGCCTGTAGCCCTGGTTGGTTTGGTACTCTTTATGTAGCTTAGGCTGGTCTTAAATTAATGCCAATCCCCCTGCCTCAGCTTTTTTCTCCCAGTGCTTTTGATTCTAGACAAGTGCCATCCCTGCAGCTTGGTTTTTGTTTGTTTGTTGTTTTTGTTTTGCCCCCCCCCCAAAGAAACCAAACTCAAGCCAGACATGATTGCACACTCTGAGTTTGAGTAAACCAAAATTCCTGTGATCTCAGCACTTGAAGGTAGAGGCAGGAGGATTCAGAGTTTAATGTTATAATAGTGAGTTCTCCCATTAGAAAATCAAAGCTGAAACAAAAGGGAGAGAGGGGGAGAGAAGAAACCACCACAGCTTCCTTTCTCTCTCCTTCCATCCCCCCCCCCGTGTGTGTGTGTGTGTGTGTGTGTGTGTGTGTGTGTGTGTGTGTGTGTGTGTGTAGGTCGGCCACATGGATCTTCTTAGTGAAACCCTCTGTGGCTGTTTTCAGCTGTTGCTTTGAGGTTAGGCCACTGATCAGCTGGGACCCCACAGATAGCAAATGTTTCTGCTGCTGTTGCCACCTGTCCTGGGACCGTGGCCCCTGGCGAGTGGTGCTCAGACATGCAGTCTCCTCCCCAGGCTTAGGGATGGCATCACTGCCACCGGAATACCTGGGGGAAAGAATGATTCTAAGTCAATCCTCGGGAAAGAGGCATTCGCCAGGAGACCACTCTCTGGAGCCTGTCTATCGGTTGAGAGAACAGGTTGCTTGTTTGTTCATCTTTTCCTTTTTTGTATGGTTTTTTTGAGACAGGGTTTCTTTGTGGAACATCCCTGGCTGTCCTGCAATTTGCTTTTGTAGACCAGGCTGTCCTGGAGCTCACAGAGATTCCCCTGCCTCTGCTTCCCGAGTGCTGGTATTAAAGGTGTGTGCCACCAATGCCCACCTTGTTTCATTCATCTTTGCAGATGAAGGAATCTAAAGGCTTCCTGCTTTCCTGTTACACCTTAGCGAGAAACTTCCTCATGTTTTTAAAAATAAAAGTATTACATACTTATTCTAAAAACATGTCTTTAAAAAGACACCCCTTTGCCCTCTGCAATAGCTGCTCTGGGTACCTGCAGGTATTTCACAGTTGGGGTCTGGTGGGAGGTCTTCTGGCCATTGGAGGTGTGAGAGTGTCACTTTCTGGGCCTGGCTTGAGTAGTTTTGCTGTGCCACAAGCTCAGAGCCACAGGCCTTAGGGACCCTGGGTTTTGTTGTAAAACTGAAGCAAAGTAAACCATTTTTTAAAATGTAAATTGTATCTCAGGTGTTTGTTTTAGGAACAGAAAGCTACCAGATTTGATGGGCGTGGCAAGTCGATGGAAATGTCTCTATTTCTTTTCCCAGTCCTGCTTGTCTTTTGAGCTGACCCAGGAAAGTAGTTCCCTATTTCCTCCCCTCATGGGAGATGGGGCCATGCGTGAGAGCCTTCATTGAGGACTGTAAACTGGGAGAGGGAGGGGGCACTTCTAGGTATATCCTTGTCCATGGCAGGCCTGTGCCATCTTAACCCACGAGTGTCTGATGAGCTTGAGGGTATGGGTGTGGGATGGCCGCCTGGCCTCTGTGCGGGAACCTGATGGGGCTGGTTGGACAGGGAGTGGCATTCTGAGAGCACTTTGGAGACCTGTAAACTGTTGGTCTTCATCTCACTCCTTTGGTCCTCTTCACCCCCCCCCCCCCCCGCTCCCAGCTACCCTGAGCTTTGGTTTCTTCCTGAACTATGAAACCAGGCACCAATTGATGGCGCTTAAGGTGCCAAGCCCAGCTTTAACATCACCCTATGGACAAGCCCTTTCCTTTGACAAAATATTCCCATTGTCCCGCTGAGGCTGGATGGAAACAGGATCTCCCTGGGGCCTGGCTTAGCAGCTCCCTAGCTTCCTAAGAAGGGCACCAGTTGGCTTCAGTTTTCCCCTCTCAGTGATAACTCCCATTTATTAAACACCCACTGAAGCTAGATGCTTTACACCCCCCAGTCTTATAAGGCAACCAATTCTAGTGTTTGCAGAGGGGGAAATAGCTCCTGCTACTTTGCATGGTCAGAAGCTGCCCAGCATATATGGTTCATGTCACACAAGTCTCCATTTGACCACTGGCTGCTGTGTCTCATTTAAAGAAAAACTATTTTAGTTTTTACTTGGGGGTGGGGTGGTAGATGCCTTCTCCCTGTCCCTTCCCCCTAACTACCCTTCTTCCAGGCTACTTCCGGGAATGAGGAAAATTGTTCCAACCCAGGTACTCTGAGAGGCTAAATCCAGAGGCTAAAACAAGGATCACAAGGCCCCACTTGGGGGTTTGGGGTCTGGCACTCTAACTCCAGATCTGCCTGAGATCTCCCAAAGTCCAGGAGGATCATTCACCAAGTGCCAGGTGGACCAGCCAAACACAGTCAGGTGTGAAGGGGTAGGGGTAAATCTAGAATCTGTGAGATGTCTCAAGGTGTTGCCAGATTGGGGAAAACCCTTCCCTAGTGTAGAGGAAGGCTGGGGCTTTCCAGGAGCCATGGGAATTCTGGGAAGTAGCCATGTGACCACAGAAGGTGACCTTTTGAAAGCCAAGGACATTGTTCTGTCCACCCTTTGGGAAAGTATCAGGGAATCCTATCCTCTCCACAGCCCATAGTTTCCAGTTCACTTTTGAAGCATGATTTTCCTCAAGGCACTGGAATTTTCTTTGTCATTTTAAAATATGTTTCCTACCGGGGGCACTGAATTTAAACATTACAGAAGACCTTTGCTTTTCTTGTGTGAGAAGCAGGTTGAGGAAATTAGGTCACCCGGTTTCCATGATCCCTGCAGGCACCAGCAGGCAGAGGAACTAACTGTGGGTCAGGCTCCCTGAGTTCAGCTGATCAGCATTTTG